TCGAAATTTCTAGTGCCAAGGGTAATTGCAATGCAATCTGGAAAACTGTTAACGGAATTCTTAATAAAAACAAAAAAAATGTCCTCCCCAAAAAACATTAAATCTAATAATAATACTGAAAAGATTTTATCGAAAAGTATCGATGTTGCTGAACAATTCAATGAGTATTTTACAACTATTGGCCCCAATCTTGCAGCAAAAATAATTTCTAACAATGACTTTGAGCATTATCTCAATGACAGTAATCCAGCCTCATTCTTTTTTCGGCCAGTCAATGAAAATGACATTGCCAACGAAATATTTCGTTTGGATCCCCAGAAAGCTATGGGACAGGATTGCATACACTCCCGGCTTATAATTGACGCTGCTTATCATATTTCTCGTCCTCTAGCACACATTGCTAACTCTACCATAACACAAGCTATATTTCCAGATGCCCTTAAAGTTGTTAAAATTATACCATTATATAAAAAGGGGTCAGCTTTAGATGTTAGTGACTACAGACCGATTTCAATTTCACCTGTCCTTAGTAAGATAATAGAGTCTATTATTAACAAACAACTAATGTCTTTCCTTGATAAATACAATATTCTTCTGCCATCTCAGTATGGGTTTCGGAAAATATTTAATACAAAACTTGCCCTTGCCGATTTAGTATTTGATATTGTAGATAAAATGGATGAAGGCTTTGTAACATTTGGTATTTTTATTGATCTAAAAAAGCCTTCGATACAATTGACCACCAAATTGTCCTTAAAAAATTAGCATATTATGGGGTCAGGGGTCTCCCATTCAAGTGGTTTCATAGCTACCTTTCCAACCGCCAACAAGCAGTAAATATCGATAGCACTATGTCAGCGCAACGACTAATTAAATGTGGGGTTCCACAAGGTTCCATTTTAGGATCAATTCTTTTCCTTCTATATATTAATGATATTAACCAATCCACTAATGCATTTGTTTTTCGTTTATTTGCCGATGATACTAACCTGTTTAAATACATGAAACACATACTATTGACCTTAACACAATTAACAACGACTTTGGTAAAGTGATAGAATGGTGTAATGCTAACAAACTAACAGTGAGTGTAGACAAGACTAATTACATGATTATGAAAACGCCCCAAAAACGAACGCAAATAATAGACCATCTAACTATGACGGGCACGCCGATAGAGAGCGTACAGTCGGCTACATACTTAGGTGTTCTATCGACCCCTCACTTACCTGGAAATCTCATATAGAAAAAGTGAGACAAATTATTACTCCCAAAATTGGTATTATATCCCGAATGCGTCACTATATTCCTCGTTCTATACTAATTTTACTATATAATACATTAATCCTTCCTCATCTAACATACTGTATTGAAATTTGGGGAAACCCTTATCCAACTTTACTTGAGCCAATTCTTTGTCTACAAAAAAAGGTAGTTCGACTTATCACTTTTTCCGACTTTCATGCTCACTCTGCTCCCCTTTTTCGCCAACTTGGAATTCTCGATATTCACAAACTCTGCAAACTTCAAACATGTTTATTTATTTTTGACCTCAAACACGACCGTTTTGCCCGAAGTCTTAGGTATTATGCAAGCAATCCGTCACATAGCTACCCCACTAAAGCAACAACTGAAGCAAACCTGTCAATTCCGAAATTACATTTGTCCATTTCCCAGCATAGTTTTAAATATGCAGCTGTTACACATTGAAACTCCCTCACAGTTTTATTAAAAAATTCAAATAATAGAAATCAATTTAAATCAGATTTAAAGACCCATCTCATAAGTAGTTAACTGGCATATCCATCTTTCTTGACTATTATTAGTATTTTAGTTATTTTATTTTCTTTGTGTTATATTTGCTAACCAGGGCATATTTGTTACTTCTTTGGAAGATTTTGTTTATTGTTTTTTTTCCCCTACCAATTCATTATTTATATTTCTTATTTTTGTTTGATTAGCAGTATGATTCATTTAATTGTTTCATAACAGGTTAATTAATTATTATATCAACTGGTTGCTTGGTTATTTATTAATGTTTTTTGATAAATAGTTATTGATTAATTGTATTTTTCATCTATTTTGTTTCCTAATATAGATTTAAAATTATAACTAATTTCTGTCTGTCAATGACCTATGCACATAAGTTTACTAGCATGGCAGGGCTGTGGACTA